AAAGAATTATTGTAGTCAAACGCGGCGTGCTTGTAGTCAATTGTTATAATACTTTAATATAATATAGTACTAGCGACCCGGCTTCGTACGGGTGCAATGTATTACACATAATTATAAACCTTCCTCTTGAATTACTCTATCTAATAAAAAAAACCGCATCAAGATCCGTTGCGTAGTATTAAAGATCCAACCAATATATAGGGACAGGCAGAAAGCGGGACGACTTTGTTTTATACTATGTAGAGATACTGGTAAAAGTAGACTCATAAGAAAATTATAAAAATTAAAAAACCACCAAACTTGACAAAAAAGTTCATTGTACCTTAAAAGTAAATAAGAAATCTAGATTAGTTATTTTAAGTTACGTAATGATCTGGGTAAGCTTACAATTAAGTTATACACACCATATATAAATTAACTTATGTAAACCACACCAAGACCCGAATTTCTGTGACAAATGTATTATTATTCCGCAACGACATAAGCACTTTCAACAAATAATGTGCTTTTATCGGTAAATGGTAAATCAAATCACATCACATAATATTATCCATTACATTTTCGCTGTGTGAAATATATTTACTTTAATGCAATCCCGATATAAAAACCCAGAGCAAAAAGAGAAACCTGCTATGTGTTGGCGTATCAATTTTTTAATTTTTTAATTTTTTTTTTAATCTTTTAAAAACATTGCCCTTACTTTTAGGATAATATTATCCTGTGTTGTAGGGATGTTTTACAAACATAAATTTCACGCGGACAAACACCTAGATGCGAAACAACTACCTGTGGGTCACACAAATAGTTGTCCCGTGTGGGAATCGAACCCACGACCCCCGACACCGAAGCCAATACCTTGGCAACTGTGCCACGGAGTCATCAAATTTAACGTCGTGTCATGCTAATCGGGTGGTTACGGTGTTTGCTGTTGGAATCGGAAAGTCCGTATCACGGACTTGAATGCCTTCGAATAACAATGAACAAATGCCTTCGAATTGAACTTATGTTGAGTGCAATGCCGTGATAGCTCATTGTCCGGGCGCTCGCTATAATCAATATACTCGAGAAACCCGAGTTCGATCCCCGGTGTTGGCACCAATGAATTGTTAATTTTAAGTGCCGAATTATCACGTGCTCAGCGGTGAAGGAAAACATTCTGATGAATCCTGCATACTTTCGAATCAATAACAGTAAATATTTCGCAGATGTGTGAAGCCTGAGGACTATGCCCTAATACCCTCGGTACAGATTAGATCAGACAGGGGAGGCCGATGCATAGCAGTGGGACATATAGGCTGTTACTTTACGAACTTACTTTAAAATTAAAGTACGCTCGTGTTCCGATCTGTCAACACAAGTGAAAGTATTGAACTTTCGCGTTTCGTCTGGTGAGTGAGGTAACCGGAGCCCAATTTTCAAAAGGTTGTTTTTTTATGTGAAAATTTGCCAAACGAGCAGACGGCTCAGTGTTAAGTGAATACCGCCGCCCATAGACATCCGTTACACCCGAGGGTTTGCAGATGCGTTGAAAACCTTTTTTGGAAATTGGGCTCCGGCTACCTCACTCAGCAGACGAAACGCGAAAGTATTTGTCATACTTCCACTTTACGCCGGTCTTTTGTGACGTCGTGGTACTTACCCGGACGAGCCTGCCCATTCGTGCAACAGCCGAGGCTGCTGCGTGGTACCGTTAAACGCATCTGCAACCCTCAGGTGTAGCAGATGTCCATGGCGGCGGTATTTACTTAACATCAGGTGAACCGCCAGCTCGCTTGGCAAATTGCCACATAAAATAAAAGACGTGGACAATCAAGATGTCAATATAGTAAACTTAACGGTATTTTTTACGATCAGCCGCCTGCCTCACGTCAACACTTCTCGTTAACAAGCACTCAGATCCGAAACCATTATATGTGAGTCACACAGATACTATTCCCGTGTGTGATTAGTACCGACAATCCCAGGTGCCCGAAACCAACAGCTTGGCAACTGCACTGTCGAATAATACAGAGGCGCTCATGTGAATGACCCATCGGTAATTTTAGACGGAACAATCTTCTCGTATAGATGAAATAATGTTTCCCCTTTTTTGTTTCCTTGTTTAAAAGTTATTTTATTGAAGCAGATATAGTTTTAAGTCAAATGCTTTTAGCGAGTCACAATTGTATTTAATCAACTCGGAAGACGTTTGTCTTGACGCATTTATCGATACTTTAGCCTCGACCGAAATCCAGCGTCCTAGCCTCCAACGCTGCAAATCCTTTATCTTAACGACGCGCGCATGACTCGTACTAGTACTTATGTACATACGAAAGGTGTGCAACGCGTAACTGTGTGGGCGATCCCAAAGAGATATTTTGAGGCGATTCACCTGTTGTTAAATGAATACCGCCGCCCATGGTCATCTGCAACACCCAATGACTTTACGTTGACAACTTTTAAAAGTGTTTGTCCCAATTACTTCACTTACCAGAAAAAACCGGAAAGTTTAATACTTCCACTTCACGCCGGTCTTCTGTGAGACAGCGGTATTTCGCCGGATGAGCCTGCCCATTAGTGCAACAACAGAAACTGTTGCGTGGCCCTACCACTTTGACCTCTATTAACTTAATTATGTACTAATGAGCCTATGTAATTGGATGCATCGATTGCACCAGTGACCTATAAATATGTTATCTCTAGCCAAGGGATCCGTTCGCGTTATCGACTCCGCATTTGACGCTGTGAGTTACAAATTTGTAAGTGACCAAATAGAGTACATTGAAGCTTTAACCGTGAGTGGCCTAATAGCTGCTGAAAGCATGTATTCGAAGTTACACATTGGCTTGAAAACCTTCTAATCTATAGTGTATTATCATAATCAAGCACTAGAACCAATAACTATTGTTCGACTTCCTTGGCAGTACCGTCCCGACCCTACGTTTTTAGGATCGACCTTCACTTTTAAAGAACTACTTTCTGAAACATTCGCTTAGGGCATTTAGTGCAGATTACAGGTAGATAATAATCCAGGTTTTGTTGCGATTAGTCGCGTGTAATACCAACTTGATGAGAGGGGTTAACACCGATCCCTGGGACACGCCCGCTCATAGAAGGTGATGAATAAATATATATCTTAACATTTATTATAGTTATAGTTTATTTATTATAGATCGCTTTGAAATCGGTCTCTAAGCATATCTGCCTAACCCCGTTTTAGACAAAAAAAAACCCGAGTCATTCAGCGTGGGAACCAACCGCGTACTCTATCCTAGAAAGCGAGGTGTTTCTGCGAGACCACCATTCTCTATAATCTGGAAAGTAAATCCATATCCACACTGTTCGGCGCGCAAAGGGAGATAAAACAAAAGCACACCCGCACTGACACATTTATATCGTTATTGCGAAAAAATAAATCGCAAGGCGGAATATCGCATCGCCTCCTGGCGCGTGAAGGGCCCAGCCGGCGTCTAACTGCCAATGACCCCGTCCGAGATAAACAACTGGATTAAATGACAATAAGCGACCATGGCACAAAAGTGCGAAGACCGCCGGTATAAAATTACCCCGACGGGTTAACGCCTTCTGTAAAACCTACACGGGGTTACTTCTCCGTATACAAATTATTGATTATACTTATCACTTTGTTGTTTATTGCAAAGAGCTGTCGAAGACCTAGAGAATGCCTTAAAGTGTCCTGGTCAATTCCGGAGCGTGGAGATAAATTGTTATCGATGAAGTCTTAAACAAATTATTCATTTTCTATATTGGAGATTATATTATATATAGACATACTTCATAAGTGCTTTGATACATTCTATATATCATTTCGTGAAGAGAAAACTGGATCTCTTTTTAATAATACTACTCGCAGGAGTGTGAAATTTGGTGTAGTTAAAGATTATATGGAGAAGTGCAGAAAGTTAAAATTTATATCATATGTATATATGTATATATAGACAAAAATTAAAAAACAATTATGTATATTATAAGTGTTTATACACATGAAATAAAATTCACATAAAAAATGGACATCTAGAAAACTAAGGTGTTGCAGAGGCGTTGACAACCTTAGGAGCTATATAATATCATCAGGCAAGGAGTAAAATAAAGAACTGTATATTATAAACAAGGCGATATCAGGTTACATGTTTACTTCTGAACGTTTATTCAACTTGAGCGGAAATGGCGGAGATAATTGAAGTAACTTATTTCTTTTCTTTACAACCGAATGGATACGAAGGCATTATTTTTAAATTATTACTGCGCCCCAAAGCGGTTTGCGAACGTTTTCTCTCATTATTGTTCAGCGCACGGGTGATGGGCTCGGCACATGATCTAGCCGTCGAGTTGGTTTTTATCCTTATCTCTGTTAAAGAACACTTTCCAATCTGTAATAGTTTACCGAGCCAGTGCCCGATTAAAACTCCATCTGATGACCAAATGATTAACACAGTCATGTTATGAAGTCTGAAAGTTTATATCTATAAACTATTTACAAAAGAACAATACACTCAAACAAATGATCAACATATTACCTTTTAGCAGTTGCCTAGTACACTTAATACAAGCTTAGTTTTGGACGTAACTTGTTAAACCGGTCTCCTGAAATGTCGAGCAATATTTTCAATAAGACAGAAGACACAAGTAAAGTTATCCGGTGATGTATTCGATAAGGTGACTGCACAATTAGTTTCAGTAAATACTCAATCGTTAGCTATCCGAAAATATTGACTCCAACGCGCATACGTTTACGCGAAACCACGCGTTCTGTAAACGTCTCATTAGATAATGTATCTATCGGCGCTCGTTAAACATTTAATTGGGACCCTCGATAGCCATTTGTGAGTGAGTCCTGGACATTATTTCTAGTGCGCGACGCCTCATGTCGGCGATCGGGAAAAGACCTTGCGATCTGGCTTGAGTCTATCTAGTCTGTCGGCAGTATACCGTTCGCTTTTGTCACCAAGCTCCCGTGGGCTCGTGTCAATGGTTAGGGGGCGCGTGGTGCTGGTGGCGAAATGTCGGTGCAGCGCGGTGGCCGCGGCGATTTTCGCTACCGCTTCTACCACTGCCCGTGCACCGGCTTCGAGATATACGACCTGGAGGGAGCGCCCCAGGGGCAGGACGTCCTAGCCAACGGTTCCCGGTGATTCCCTCCTTACATTAGCCCAGCTGTGGTGGGGTCACGCAGTAGCCGAGGCTGTTGCAGCCCATCCGGGGAAGTACCGCGACCTCACAGAAGAGCGGCGTGAGTGGAAGTGTGCATTATACTCTCGCGTTTCGCCTGATAAGTGAGGTAACCGGGGCCAACTTTTTTTTTTAATGTTGGCAGCGAATTTTCAACTGCTCAGGTGTTGTAGATATACATGGGCGGCGGCAAGCACTTAACGTCAGGTGAATTTCCTGCAAATTTTTCACATTAAAAGAAATATCTGTTACCACCGACGATATGCTAGCTCACGTGCTGTTTTCCTAGATTTGGCTTTGTATTCTTTGTACTAATATGATTGTCGTCTATTAATAATTAATTGGCACAAGTGTATCCTGTTATATTGTTCCACCGTTAGTCGTCTTGCCTAATATGATTGCTCAATGACTACTGTCGAAATGTGATACTGTGGGATAATTAATTTATTGTTCTCGCGGATTATTATCTTTTTTTTATGGTAAAACGTGGCAAACGTGCCGGCGGTACACTTGCTGTTAAGTGATAGCTGCCACTCATGGACATTTGTATAGCCGGAAAAGCGTCTTGCCGCCTCTTGACGCAGCAAAGTACATGTCCCACTGCTGGGCAGCGGCGTCCTTTGTACAGACGGTATCAGGGCATAGCCCACCATGCGGCGCCAGTGAGGATTGTGAGATTTCACATATCTTCGAAAAATTTTTTTGTTATTATTTCGAAAATACGCAGGTTTCCCCGCGATGTTTTCATTCGCCGCTAAACACGTCACAGGTCAGCACTTAAAATTACCAATGTCATTTGTGCCGGCAATGGGGATCGAACTCAGGTTGCTCGCTATATTCAATTAAAGGCTAGCGCCCGGAAACTGAGGTATAGCTCTTAAGCAACATAGCTCTTGGATGGAAAAACTGGCGCGAATCAGGTTTGCCTAATTTTGCCGAATTTGGTGTCGTCTTTTAGAATACGCATTATTCTAAACGACGACTGCAAATCCGGCGAACGCGTGGAATCAATATCGGGGCAATCGGGCTGTTTGAACATCCCGTGACATAGATTAAATGTGACGTCAAATGATCGACGCGTCGGGCTCTGCGATCCCTGCGTCCGATAATTAGGGAGGCGTGATGTAACCCATAAACACGTTCTCCGTCCCGGACACCGTGTTTGCGTGATTTGTGTAAAATATCCATAAATCTTCACACAAAATGTAACAGTACTTATGCCAGACAGATCAGCGATTTCAGAAAGATGAGTTTGGATTGCAAAGTTAGCGAATAGATGTTCAATTCAAACACCTCATTGGCCTTTTCTAGCTTCTAAAGTCTTAGCTGTTATGCTGTAAGGGTTTCGAATATTAATTCTACTTGTTTGATAGAAATTCGTTACAATTTAAAACAATCAACTAACGAGCCCCATAACACTTACTTTCTTACTTTTGTTTTAAAAACATTGCCCTCACTTTAGGATAACATTATCTTGCGTTGTAAGGACGTTTTACTAACATAAATTGCACGAGGACAAACACCCAGATGCGAAACAACTATCTGTGGGTCGCACAAATAGTTGTCCCGTGTGGGAATCGAACCCACCTCCGACATCGATACATTGGCAACGGCGCCACGGAGTCATCAAAAAACTGTTGGTTTACAAACTGTTGGTTGTAGTGCAGAATGGAAGTGTCAGCCTATAAGAGTACGGCCGTACAGTATTTGTGACGTTGAGTATTTGATACGCGCTTCGTCTGGTGGTCTCTTGGACGTGGGCGTCTTGAAAACCGGCGGTACGATTGATATCAGATTGTAGCCCTCGTTTGTCACCTAACATAAAAACGTCTCTATCTCAGTCGTTTGCCATGCAGAGTGTGGCAAAACTAATTGGACAATACACATGTCCGAAACGATTTGTGTTATCGCCACACGTTGCCACAGCGGTCGCGTGTTGTTTTATTGCTGATAAACGTTTTGTGTTCCCAAATCGATGGACGGTTGAGTTTTATATCAATTTATAATGCCCGCGTTGGTTTCCGTTTACCTGTGATTACATTCCATGCTGTTCGGTTCAACAGTGAACCGAACAGCTTTCTTAGCAATTTTAGCTGAAACTAAAGGCCCATTTACACGATGCCATTTTCTTGAACATACAAGAGCAATAATTGAATGCAATAAATTGCGCGCAAAATAACAATTTGTTGTTTAGACCATGCAACTCATTTATTGCTTCAATTTAATACAGCGAAAGGCATCATGTAAGTGGGTTCAATTCGTAGTCAACAATCAGACAGGCTTAAGTTCACGTTCGGTCATCGAGCCTATAAACCTAAACCACGCGTTCTCATATTATTAATATATCATTTTATTAATTATAATATTATAGTCTGTCATTTTATATCAGGGTTCTGGTAAATTCTATTATCATTTATATTTTATTTATATATTTATTGTTCACAACACACAAGATAAAAAAAAATGCATACTAAACTGGTAAGAACAATGTGACTGAATGAAGCTGGACTCGTGTTCAGTATTCAGTTATATTATCAGAACCGGTGTTAGGAATTAGCCCCAACAGTCGTCCAATTGCTAATAAAGTCCGATATATAATATAATAATTCATCATCTATACACTCAAAAATCTCGTTGAAACTTAGTTCCGAATACTGAAACGTTACTTAAATATTTAAAGGCACCTTAAACATTTGAGCAGCTCGTAAACACTTAATTCGTCAAGTTCAGTTGTACCTAAAAGCCACTCAGTGAAGATGCTTAATGTTTAAGGTGCCTTTAAATATTTAAGTCACGTTTCAGTATTCGGCCCTTAGAGCTGCAGCTCGTGCTGAGTGTCACATTTCAGTATTCGGCCCTTAGAGCTGCAGCTCGTGCTGAGTGTCGAATGTGTGTAGTTTTTGGGAAACCTTACGAAGCGATTGGACACTTGTTTCCACCTCCCTCCCACAGGCTCCTTTCACGAATAGAAAGTAACCTAGCAGCGTGTTGTCGTGTTCCCAACTAGATGAGTACCTAAAAGGTATTTTTTGTATTAGGGGTTGATGGGGGCGCTTAATTATCTTAATTAATTAAAGTACCGTGTTAATAATTCTAGTCTATGAGTATTATGTAGTATATTATAAAACAAAGTAGTCCCGCTGTCTGTCTGTCCCTATGTATGCTTGGATCTTTAAAACTACGCAACGGATCTTGATGTGGTTTTTTTTTACTAGAGAAATTCAAGAGGAAGGTTTATATATATGATACATTGCACCCGTGCGAAGCTTGTTCAGCCGTTGCGGCGTGGAGAAATATAAACGTACACACAAACTTTGTCGTTTTTATGTAACTGCGATAAATCTTGTTACCTAACAACACCGCCTGACCCTAATCCACTACAACAGCAAAGCTTTAGGCTTTAGGCTTTGCTGCAGACAAACGTCATTCATGCTAGATATTAGAAGCTATATCATATTAGGTCACGAAACGTCACGTCACGTTTGGGGATTCCGTACCCAAGGGTAAAATGGGACCCTGTTACTAAGATTTCGCTTTCTGTCTATCCGTCACCAATCTATCTCATGAACCGTTATAGGTTAAGATAGTTGAAATTTTCACAGAGGATGTATTTGCCGTTATAACAACTAATACTAAAAGACGGAATAAAATATATTTAAGCGGGGTTCCCATACAACACCATGACTTTTCTTGCCGTTTTTATGGATAATGGTACAGAAGTCAATATTCTATCTATCTGTACATCTGGTTAGCGATAGGTGTTTGACATTAGCTAAATAATAATTACGTCAAAATTCTATAATCCAGTAACCAAATTTAAAGATAGATAAAATATTGAAACTTGCCGTATGACAATGATTATTTCACCTGACAATATAAAAGTAGGTAATTCTTAAATCTGTCTGCGGTCCGAAGTCCACTGTACCTCGAAACTGTATTAAAAATTAAACTTTTTTGTAGAAAAAAGAAACGAAAAGTTTCTCGCCGCTGTGGGAATCGAACCCACGTCTTCGCGATTCGCGCCCTGGCGCTCTAGCCACTCAGCTAAACGGCTGATTGCCACACCGACTAAAGTCGCCTTTTATCTACATTGTATTTTAGCATTTGAAACTTTTCGTTCCTTTTTTTTTTCTATAAAAATGTGTTAATGTTTAATCTTAAGGGCAGAGATTAGCTCTATAAAAATTTTAATATGTATAAAATTTTTTTTAGTTTCGATTTCTACGCTATAAGATATCACGACTGGAGCTAGTTTCATAAAAAAAAAGTAAAGTTATCGATTGGGCAAAGGCTACCTCTATAAGAGGGTATCCACGACTGGAGTGAAATATATATTTTTTTTGTTATTATTTCGAAAATATGCAGGTTTCCTCACGATGTTTTCCTTCTGCTAGTTTCATGTTACACTACAATTATGCGTTTATCGTTTCCCAGCAATGGGGTGAACGTCGAAGGAGCCACCCACAAGCAGGTGGTGGACCTCATCAAGTCGGGCGGCGACTGTCTCACTCTAACGGTGATCTCTGTCACTCCCAAGGTAAGGGTACAGGTAGTGACTCAGTCAGTTTTCTGGCTAACCAGTTGACGTTCATCACAAGTATATATGATACGGCCGATGGGGAAATAGATTTAAAGATGTGCCATATTATAATATAACTACAACATTTCCGCGGGCCCAAAATAGTAGACAACGAAAATAAATCATACTAGCTTCTGCCCGCGACTACGTCTGCGTAGAATAGGCTGTAGGCGTAACATTCAGGCAGAAAGACATATACATAAAAATATGTATATAAATTATAGCCTTTGTGTTATTCTGATGTATAAGCTATATGATTGTAAAGTTTCATTAAAATCCGTTCAGTAGTATTTGCCTGAAAGAGTAACAAACATCCATCCATACATACAAACTTTCGCCTTTATAATATTAGTAAGGATAGGTCCGGTACACATAATAAATTTATTGTTTCGTTGTGCTGGGCAGGCGTGAAAGATGAAATTTTAACTGTTCGTTAATTAAAGCGTCGAAGTTAGACCCCCAAGTTAGTTGAAGTAACTCGAGATGATGGTTAGATTAGACCAATATTAAATACAAATATGACACTAGCGTACCGAGACTCTAATTACGCCAATTTGTGTAATTTGATTGCAATTCTATAGACTGCTATCTCTTTCCGTAGCGTACGTTCTATATCATCAGTCACATTCAGTTATATAATGTCGTATAATGTAAAGTGGAACAATATTTAAACACCTCGCAACACCGCAAACGCGTAGTACCATGCGTCATCTATATTATTAAACATTCATTATTGGGTTAGAAATATTATTCCTTAATTTGTTTATCGCGGGCCGATTTAATTAAGAGGCCAAGTCTGGCCCGCGATTACAACCAGTCATCTTAATGCGCAAAGTACCATAGCGCCCTAAGAGTACCATAGTACATAGTACCATGAGTGGTCGCGAAGTTTCATCCCAATGCGCCCAGGGTGGCCGACGAGAGAGCTTTATTGAGTAGGAGATATTAGGAAAGATTCTTTCAAAGATATCCGATAACACATGGTAATAATTACGCTTCCACTACAAACTACAATACCAGAGTTATTTTGCTTTGAAACATAATAAAACCTTTTTTCACATAGTAACCTCCGTGCTACTCTCATATACGGAAGCAGTACTGTATATTACTCCTTCCTTACTAAGAAACGTACCGTGCACCAGAAGTCTTTCCACACTTTATTAATGGGAGAAGGTTGCAAGCGAGCTGCTGATTCACCTGATGTCAAGTGATAACCGCCGTCCATGGATATTTACAACACCGTAGGATCAGATGCGTTTCGTGGTTGGCCCCGGCCACTTCACTTACCAGACGAAACGCAGAAGTATAACACTTCCATTTCACGCCGTTCTTCTATTAGGTCGTGATACCTCCGCAGACGGACCTGCCCATTCGTGCAACAGCCGAAGCTATTGCGTGGCCCTGCCACGGTTAAAAACATTGTCATTAATTGTCACTCTAGGAATGAAACTTGGGTATAGAACGAAGGACAAGTCGTCTATATAGATCTATCATATAGGTATTTTAAAAGGCACCGCCGCTCTCCCTACCTGGCACGAGTTGTCGAACTTTAAATGCAAACGAGAGAATTTTAAAATATGTGGATCGGTATTTCCATTATTTATTATTTATTATTTATTATTTTTTTCGACGGTTTATTTATAAACGTTACCTTCCATAAAGCCGTGATAGCTCAGTGTCCGGGCGCTCGCCTTTAATTCAATATACTCGAGCAACCTGAGTTCGATCCTCGGTGCCGGCACCAATGAAGTTTTTAACTTTAAGTGCTGACTTATCACATGCTCCGCGGTGAAGGAAAACATCGTGGGAAACCTGCATATTTTCGAAATAATAACAAAAAAAATATATATATTTCGAAAATATGTGAAGTCCGCCAATCCGCAGTGGGGCCGCGTGGTGGACTATGCCCTGATACCCTCTGTATAGAGGAGGCCTTTGCCCAGCAGTGGGACATGTATAGGCTGTTACTTTACTTTACTTTTTTACCTTCCATCAGGATAAGATTGTGATGTGTTATATTTGCGTTTAACGAACATATAATAATCATCAGAATTCACAAAAATCTGTAAAAAAAAGAAATAAAGTAACAGCCGGGCATGTAACCTCTTTACGGAAAATTCCGTAAAGAGGTTGTCAGGGCATAGTCCACCAAGCAACCCCACCGCGAATTTTTAGACAAATCTTCGAAATATTTCTTCGTTATTGTTTCAAATTTATGCAGGTTTCCTCACGATGTTTTCCTTCACCGATAGTTTAGCATTTACATTCATTGAACCGGGTTTGAAGAGGTTGCTCGAATATATTGAATTTAAAGCGAGCGCCTGAACACTGTACTATCACGGCTATATCAAAAATCTATAGTTCATACGAAGACAAGTCCTATACTTAACGAAAGCGACCGACAATCCACAATATTATTAGAGACATGTTATAAAACATAGCTTTTACCGATTTGTATAACTATAACTGAATGGCTCAGAGCTTTTCCAATAGAGTTTATTGGAGACAAGTTATAAAATACAGCTTTTACCGACTTATACAACTATGACTCAACGATGACTCAATAATTGGATAACAATGGCGCTTACTTTTTCCAACAGAGCGACAGCCCTTAACTACCAATAGCCAAAAAATAATCCGCGTACGTTGTGAGAGTTGAATTTATACCCCTCAAAAACCAATACCAACTATCCCCCGACGCAATAGGTATCAATCCAACAACTTTTTAAATAAGTCGCAACAAACTGTACTAATAAATTATTAATTAGATTAAATATGTGCCATAATTGTAACAATATCGACATAAGCTTTATCACTCTAATTTAATTTATTTGCGTCCCCAAAGTGAAGTTTTTCCCATCCTTCTTAGATAACTATCAACTTTTCGAGATGGTGTATTAATAAAGAACAGGAGAACGGCAGTCTTCTGAATACGCTAGGCAATTCACGATAGACCTATTACAAAACTCGACACCCACGTAGATTTTTTTTACCACAAATCCAAAAATAATACATAAACTTTGGCAACACTAACACGTTGATTGAAGAGTTAGTCTGCCAAATATGTAGTTCGAAATACTAATTTATTTGGATTATTATGGTACGCATATTCGACGATGAATACTTTAATTTTTGCGTTTTTGAGTTTGTTTCATATTCAGTTAAGTTGTAACTGACATTTGTGTCCTGTTTCTGTTTCAAATTCAGTTAAGTTGTAACTGACGTGTCCTGTTTCGCCTACAAGACCTCACAACCTGTCATACTTGGAGCTGATATAATCATCATAATTTCAGCATGTTTCAAGTCTATAGCTGAACATAGCCTGTCCCACAGAACGCCACGAAGCACGCTCCTGAGCCACTTGCATCCATCGACTTGCGTTTTTTATTCTTATGTAATGACGCAGACATTGAGACTTTATGGCTAGTACGTTAAAAAGACAATTGAGTCAACACTACAAATTCAAAATCACTGCCTTTTAGAAATTATCATAGCATATCTATTCTCGTTTATGCTTATTAAGTCTTCGACAATAACAGTCTGCTGCAGTTTCTGATGTTGCACGAATGTGCAAGTCCGTCCGGGGAAGTACCACGACCTCGCTGAAGACCAGCGTGAAGCTGGCAACCCTGCAGATGTTGTAGATGCCCATGAGCAACGGGAATCACTTAACATCAGGTGGACTAGCCAACTTTTCACATACTTTTGCATGTGAAAAGTACACGCAGACGATGTCGCGGGTATCAGTGTATCATACGATTGCTCACACCACCCCATCAAATTTTAAGGATGAGGCAGTCATTACAATCCAAATGGCTCACTGCCTCCCCCACTAATGTTAGCACGAGCTGGTTATTAATATTCGAATTGCTCACTCCACCTTATATTTAAGTCATTAATATCCGAATTACTCGCTGCCCTCCAACTGAGGTGTTCTCTACCGACCCCCCTCCCCCCCCCCCCCCCAATTATAAGTTGAACGATCGCGACTTGCGGTGTTCGGGTTTGAGCTTTTCGGGTATTAATCCCCCCCTTTCCATTTTATGATGAGCTTGTCGCATCTCCCCCGAACCTAGGAGGCCGAGCGGCTGGAGCCCTGCGACGACTCGGCCCCCGTGGGCGTGATAGGCGGCGCGGCCAACTCGCGCGCCACCGTCTACCAGAAGTACGACTACACGGACAAGAGGTCGCTGCCCGTCTCCATACCGGACTACCGCGTGGTGATGGAGCGCAACACGGGCCGCTCGTTCGTCGCGTTCAACGTGCACATGGCGGGCCGGCACCTGTGCAGCAGGCGGTACAGGGAGTTCGCCGCGCTGCACCAGCAGCTCAGGAAGGAGTTCCTCGGTAAGCCGCCCCGGAGAGCGGGGCTAAGCGACACCCTGTGTACAATGCGATTCGAATAGCAACGAGGCCCCTGCACCAGCAGCTCAGGAAGGAGTTCCTCGGTAAGCCGCCCCGGAGAGCGGGGGAAAGCGACACCCTGTGTACAATGCGATTCGAATAGCATTGAGGCCCCTGCACCAGCAGCTCAGGAAGGAGTTCCTCGGTAGGCTGATCCAGAAAGCAAAGTAAAGTTAGAGGATAGTCCACAACAAAACCTATTTGCATATTGGCTGAGATTTCGTATCTTCGAAATATTTTCTTTTAGTTGTTATTCCAAAAATATGAAGGTTTTCACACGATGTTTTCCTTCACCGTATTGTTGACGTAGGACGAAGTTGTATTTGATATCACTACTTCTATTTCTCAGAATCAAGGAGCGAAAACAGTGACCGTCTGTACTTCTTGATTCCGATAACTTCTATTTGCTAGAACATTGAACTTAAGGGCTCAAGCTGTTTATTGGTACAGGTTTTAACTTTAGAACACAGACTGTTTTTTTCACTGAGAATTTGTTTTGGGGGTTTTTATCCTTTTTGGATATGTCAACTCCAATGTGACCATCTCATTTCTATATTTAGAAATAAAATGTTTTTTGATACGCAGGATTTAACTTCCCGAAGCTGCCAGGCAAGTGGCCGTTCACCCTGAGCGAGCAACAGCTCGACGCGCGGAGGCGGGGCTTGGAACAGTACTTGGAGAAGGCGAGTAGACCATTACCAATAGAACGTCTGGTGAAAGAAAGGCTGATCTGAAATGGTTAGTGCGCATGTGTGAGAGAGTGGCTTTGGAACCTAAGTGTGTATACAGCTGAGGATAGAAAATGCGTGACAGGAAGAGAGCAACTCTGGTGTGGGAGAATTAGAGAAGGCAATAGAGTAGGAGCTTTCAGTGGTTGCCAGCGATAGAGTTAGTAGAGTTAGGGGACGTTTTTTACTTTACAGGCTTTCGGTACAGTGTCAGTGAGGTGGAGTTACCGATCTTTTATTATGTGAAAAGTTGCCTATTAGGTGATTCACCTGATGTTAGGTTATTACTGCCATCCGTAAACATCTGCAACACAACAACACAATAGAGTCCTGCACATTAGTGTAACAGTGAAATTTGCTGTTTGACCCTAGCATACTAAAAGCGCTTGCACTTATCACACAGGCGTGGACATGCTAGTAAGACAGCTATTTTAGATTGAGAAAACTGGTAAGAGCGAGAGAACTCGTTATTAAGGGCGAGAGAGATGGTTAAGTGGAAGGCGAGGGACGTTTCGAGTGAGAGGGACGGAGGCAGCTGAGGGCGTGTGAGCGATAAAGTGTTTAAAGAGCGAGATAAGAGAGGTGATAAGAGTGAGAGAACTGGTTGTTGTGAGCGAGAGAGGCGGAGAGAGGCGGAGAGAGGCGGAGAGGCAGTGAGCGCGAGCGTGGGGTGGTCTGGCAGGTGTGCGCGGTGCGCGCGATCGCCGAGTCGGAGGCGGTGCAGGAGTTCCTGACGGAGGCGGAGGAGGCGTGCGCGTCGCCCGTGGAGCTGAAGGTGCTGGTGGCGGAGCGCGGCGCCGTGGCGCTGGCCGTGCCGCGCTGCGCCAGCGCCGACCACGTCTACGCCCAGCTCTGCGAGCGCATCGCGCTGCCGCCCCCGCTGCGCCCCTTCTTCTACCTCTTCGAGATCGTCGAGTACAACTTCGGTGAGTGCGCCCCCGAAAGACTTGCCAAACTCTCATTCATATTATGTAATACACAACTCAATTCACCCAATTGTCTTATTAACATTCTTCCATTTTTTCAAACAAACGTCATGATTACACCTTGCGTGCTTCAAAGCGACGCAAGAGAGTCGAAGTTATCTGACGTTTTCGTCCACTGCGACAGAGCTTACGAGACTCGAACCCCCGACGTTCCGTTGCAGAGCGCAAGCTGCAGCCGAACGAGTGTCCGCACGCGCTGTACGTGCAAAACTACTCGACGGCGTCGGCTTCGTGTGTGTGCCTCAGGAAGTGGCTCTTCTCCCCGTCTAAGGACGAGCAGCTCGCCAAGGCCTACCCGGACGCGGCCGCGCTGCTCTTCTGGCAGGTGGGCCCTGACCCTGACCCTGACCCTGACCCTGGCCCCGACCCCAACCCTAATATCACCTAATTAATAATAATGTTAACCGGTAATTAATGATTAATGTTTTTAAAACACCACAATATGAGCTTCACGAGAGTATCCCGTTCCAGGCGGTGGAGGACGTGAACCGCGGCGTGTGCGTGGCCGGCAACCGGCTCTACCAGCTGAAGGCGCTGCAGGACGTGCGCCGCGCCACCGACTATCTCGCTCTCGCTCGCACGCTGCCCGGCTACGGCGACATGCTCTTCCCTCCCGCTCGCACCGACTGCCGCGCCACGCCCGCGCTCGTCGTCGCCGTTGGTCGGTTACGTTATTCATTCATTCGTTCCGTTCATTGTTTTATTCATTCACTCGTTCTTTCATGCATCCATTCATTGGTTTCTTTATTCATTCGTTCGTTCATTCATTCTCACTCATAAAGACTCGGCTCCACTAGTTGGATTCTTTTCCTTTCCTTTGAATGATACGATCGCCTATCTGATATTGCTTAACGTAGTTCGTCGAAAGTTTACACTGTTCAATTCGTTATTACATGACAATTGATATTATACATATATAATGTAAAAACAATTTACATTATTTATATATATATATATATATATATAATGTAAATTGTTTTTACTGTACTATACTATTTTTCATGTGAGAAGGTGATAAGAGATTTAGCGGTTCACCTGGTGTTAAGTTATAGCCGCCACCCATGGACATTTGCAACCTCTTACAGTAATGGCTACCTTTTAACAATATGGGCCCCGGTTACGTAGGCTGGAGCGGGCTGAAGCTGTGGGCGTGGAGCGAGGGCGACGCGGAGGGGCGCGAGGGGCGCGAGGGGCGTGAGGGGCGCGAGGGGCGCGGGGGCGCGGTGGAGCTCGCGTGGCGCGAGGTGCGCGAGTGGCGCGCCGACGACGAGGCGGCGGCCGCGCGCCTGCTCTACCGCCGCCCCGACCGCCCCGACCGCCCGCCCACCGCCCTCGCGCTCTACACGCCCTACGTGAGTGCACACACCTCTTGACACTCACACTCTACGATCCACCACCTAATGCCGACACCTTCTGCAAACCACCACCTGATACTGACGCCTACGATCCCACTTTATACCGACACTGTTGCGTGGCCGTACCGCAGGCAAATGACGTCCGCATCTCGCCGACGGTGGTAGGCCAGCCTCATCAAGAGACATTCACTCAAACGACCGAATCGGTTATATCCACAATTACCCATTGTTGCGTACACAACGCACATTGTGACTACTATTATTATACTGTACACGATTACCTTTCACCGACTGATCTGACATTACTCCGCTCAACTAGTGATTACATATAGTTTCAATATCATTACAGTATCAATTCCTCTGCAACTGCATGGACCGAATAGCCGAGGAGGCCAACTGGGTGGACACCGGCGAATAGACCGCGTCCCGACCGCACCATGGCAACCGCCAACAACTAGGGCGTAGAAAATCACAACGGTATTGCGTCATCAACGCGCGCCGCCATTTCGCGTAGCACAAGATGGCCGCCACGCAAAATGGCCGCCGCGGCGACGCAGCCGAGATGGCCCCCACGGCAGGCGGAATGGCGGCACACGACTATTAGTTATAACGATGCGGTAGGTTAATTTTTGCTTGTATGTGATTCAAAAACATTGGTCGAGACTTATATGTGAGGACAGCGGTAAGGGGCGATTACTTCTCGTTTTTCGTCAAGCTTAGTGCGGCGACGCCTTACCGCTCTCCGCGCTGTGATAGAAACGCTTGGCGGGCTCTGTTGTGCGTGTACTTACGAGTTGTTTAACGTTTCGATTAATTAGTCTTAAGTCGTAACAGTGAAGGGGCAATCCGCGCAGTGGTAATCCGGTGGTGTTTTAATCATAACCCGTTGCGTGTAAAACTATCTTCGTGTGAATTAAGCAATGTATAAAATCTGTAACGAAAAATTTCATGTCGCAGTTTGTAACGTATATTCGTGAATCTCCGTTTCCCCAAAAATTTAAAAAGGTAAGAAAATTAAACTAATGTCACATCATTTCGAAGATTATTTGAAAACTGGTAGTTGAATATATTAACCCTTATATGATATAAGATAAGATATTAAAATTAACTTAATTATTAATATAGTGAACATTTTATCGTAAACGCTAAAGTGGGAAATATTGTTATGTAGTATGCCCAATGATATTTCTAATAGAAGACATTAATGTTAATATATTGATAGATATCTCTAACACTATTATTACTCGACCGTCATTTTTATATTTCTATCACGCATCAAACGTTTATAATTACAGCTCTGCACGCTAACCGTATCTGTTGTAAACCATAGACTAAGGCGCAGTTTTCAATGTCAAAAATGGCTAATGTCATAATATTAATTTTGATTGATAACATCTGTCAACCGAATCACATAATGATTTTCTTGTATTTAAGTTGAAACTTGCTCATACCTATAAATCGCCATAAAGGTAAAATCTGTCAATTTTGACGGAACACTGTTTGCCCCAAATACAAAGTAAAGGGATAATATGGGTCAGTATCTCAATGTTTAGAAAGTGTCCATACAAAACACTAATATATCGTTACTGTAGCATGAACTCAAAATTTCAAAGAAAGCGCCAAAAAGGGACAAAACATTTACCCTATAATTTTTTATCCGTTCGGAAGCCATTATGCTACATTAGCGCTTTTCGTGTATTATAGTCATTTATTGAAACCTTATTGAATGCAGTTTTGTGAACTTTTTCGGTTAAAAACATATATATAGCCTACTTATCACTGCATAACCAGACCAAAAGCGTAAAGGTTGTTTTTGCTTTTATATTTTGCTTTATAGCTTGTAGTGTCATGCGGAATCTGTGTTCGATTCCGCATACCATGCTAGAAGAACAGTACATGTTTTCAGACCTCTGTTAAACAAAAAAACTGCGCCTTAAACACTTGACATTATAATTATAAATGAAACAATTATAAGTTCGTATAGGCTAAGTATAAATAAATATCTTTAGTGTTAAATTTGCCGCCTCTATTATCTATAAAGTTAATCATGTACAGACATGGCTCCACCTGCCCTAATTTCTAATATAGATTATTTTATTAATTTCATTAAATGTTTTATAAAAAACCTTTATTGCAACTAAATTATAAGATGACATTCTTCTATCATCAAATGAAGATTTTTAACATTATTGTAGTAGCATTGTATTAGAAAAAAAATCAAATTAGAAATGAACTAGATTAGTTGAATGTTTGTGTGTTACACTATTCTTTGCTTACACATTTTATACACAATGTAGTCTTTTACGGATAACTATTTCTATAGGTAAATATATTAATGTTTTCTAAATATATTACAATATTTGTTTCATACAATTTGTAAAAATCAAACCACTAAATCGATTCAATCTACAAGTTTCATCTTCTTTTTCCACAGATAATACAACACATCCGAATGTAAAAGAAATTGAGACTGGAACTTGTAGTGATTCTTAAATGAATTGGTGATTTGGATCTAAGTAATTTTCTAATTGTCAAATTAAATTAACTTTCATCTACTCTATGACCTTAAAAGTGTGGTAAAATATAATTTCTGGTTTATAAAAGTGACTAATCCATACTAATGTCGCTTTCACATTCAAAACTACTGAAACGATTTAAATGAAATTTGGTACACAGATATTCTAGAGCCTGAGAAAGGACATAGGCTATTTTCTAATTAGAAAAAAGTGTTGTAAAAGGTTGAAAATATCTTTCTTTAAAAAATGTATATATTTTTAAAGAAAGATATTTATTTAAGAGCATCAACGCGAGCTAAGCCGCGGGCGAAAAGCTAGTAGTTAATATAATGTGGAACATTGACTAATAGCAGTATATCAATATATTTAATCAAACATATAAGAAACTAGGCTAGGCAAAATTGAGCCACATCGATCGCTTTATGTAATATTTCCTGTTATTATTTAAAATCTTAACTGAATTATATTTATTTATTAAACTAAATACATGTGAATTGTTTATAATGTTGTAAAAAATTCAAAGAATGGTGTAACAAACACATGGAGATGTGTACAGATGTTGGTGAATTCATGGTATATATTTTACAATATCATATTTATATGCTACATAATACTCCGTTTCCCTTTGTGTAAGCATAATATTATCTCAATATCCTTATTTTTAATTTATCATATCAATGTACTTACTGTGAATACAATTGAATTCTTTTTAAATACAATTATTAAATACAATTTTATTATTTTAAAACATTGTGGAAAAATACTAATTAACTGTACTACCTGTTTTTTTTATGCAAGATGAAATGCAACATAAGTTTTTATAAAAAGCCAAACTTTTTTCGATGGAACTTTAAGACAGTTCTTACTTTCTAACCTCCCCATATTTATTTTTGGACCAATTTTTACAGTACTGTGTATTAAAATTATTCTTTACCCGGTAAACAAAATCAATATCCAGTGTGTAACACTGGTGCGTTAAACAATATTTGTTATGTATAATCTGTCATCGTTTTTATATAAGCAACACAGTTGCTAAGAATATTACACACCATTATTATACATACAATTGTTTGTACAATATTTGGGTATGTGAGGCATTGTAAGTTGTGTATAAACATATCTCGTTGGTACATGCGTAGTGGTTGTTCTGTTGAGCCCTATTGCATTTTGCCATGGTTGGTAATAGCTTTGATTTTCGTTTACGGAGGTGGCAGTAATTGGGGATAAGGTATTATGTGGATTTAAGCGATGTTTAGAGGTGAGTTTGGAACTGATATTTAATATTGTTCTCTTTATGATTATTAGTAAAAAAATTATTTAATTAATTAATAGAACTGTTAATTGCAAATTTTGAAATCAAACAATTGTTTTGTTTATTTTACTGCTTTTATATGATATATTGTAAATTGTTTGTTAATTACATATTATATATTTGCTAGATAACAGTATTATGTGTATTATATTTATGTTGGTGCCATATTCATTGGGTTGTTGATTGTTGCACGCACTTTGCTATATATGTATATAAATATATTTCAAATGGGCTAGTATCAATAGTTTATACAAATAGTTGTTATATGTTTTTTACACAATTTTAGGTTTTCTTAACAAACTTCCATGAGGAAATGTGTTATTCTATCTGGCTAAATGAATTATATTTCTTCGAAAGATAAAGCCAAACCAAACCTTTATGGTACTGCAGTATTCAAAACCATTCATCATAATGCATTAGGTACTATTGTGAGCATTTGTCGTTTGGGAACATTGCCCAAATGAACCGAGAATTACAAATATTTAAAAGATCACATACGAAATTCACTACAAGCAGTATTTGCATTTATGATTTTTTTTATTGTACATACATTCTTATACATACATATGTAGTGATTATATAAAAACTATATGAATAATATTTATTCTGCTTTCGTCATAATTTAAGATAAAAATAACCTCAAAAATCTTTTCATAACCAGTTTACTAATTAAAAAAAAAAAAGCTTTTAAGTTGAACAATAACAATTGTCAGGACAAATTGTAAAACTGATAATTTATTTTCTAAACCTCAAACATTCATCGTTTTTATAAGATGGATTTTGGCGCCAAATTTTTTGTGAATTTTGGCGCCAATATCATTATGCTTTTTTATATGTCGTGTAAATTAATTCAGCACTGCTATTGACAATGTAATGTTCTAACATGCGTTTTACCTTTATTTTAGTAGAGTACCAATTTTACTAAAACTCAGTGATCCACACGATATTAGTCCAGTCTTCTTAAATGTGATATTTTACTCTTGATTTTTGTCCATCGAAAATTATTGAGATTTAGACTGGAATTGAGCGAGGGAATAAAATGAGAGAGGAAGATTCACAAGCACCCCGATTCAGTGTTCCGCGCATTATATTCTTTCTAATGTTTTATTCTTTATTCTGTACGAAGTATCTGATTAGTGTCAGGTAAACTTTGCGCTTTCCAAGTGAGCAGCTCTCGTTTGTAAGGTTTGTTGTCCTGTGCATGTGTGTAAACGATTTTGTTATTAATGTGACATTTATTCTCTTATCCTTTATGTTATCTGTGTAACACTTAATTAGCCGTAGCAGATTGTAATCTTGTCGTTATTGTAAAACGAGATCGGAAAACGGTCTCGAGTTGTGTTCTTTAGTTATCACGATATTATTATTGATACAAGTGTTGAACTTTCGTATGAAACATTTTTGTCGAAATTATAATTGATTAATTAACCTATTCGTATGACCACGGAGCAATAATGGAAGTGAGAGATTTGTCTATCTATTAATAACGTGTGGTAAAAGGCCACAGTGTAAGTAACTACAGAGCCGTCCGATGTATTGCGTGTCTGTATTTTATATGTAGATTTTTAAAGCTGTGGTGCAAATTAT